CCGCTTTCTCCACATCAGCTACCGCCACCTCCTCAAGATCCTACTTTGGTGAAGAAGGGCCCATTCGCCGAGGATTCTGATGAGGAGCCAGTGGACTGGTCGGAGAGTGAGCCGGAAGACGAAAGGCACGCGCGACAGAAAGCAACAAACGATGTGGAGTCAAAGTCAGAGACACGGCAAGCTTCTGAAACACCGTCTGATGAATTTGAAGATGTACCTATGCAGACGGATCCGGCTCCTGAACATACATCTGTCAAATCACCGTCACCTGAATTCGAGGATGTACTTTTGCAAGGTGAATCGACTTCAGCACCCGAGCAGCCAAAGTCTCCATCGCCCGAATTTGAGGACGTCCCGATTAGACAGGAAAAGCCACGTCAACCTCAAAGAGAGTTTTCGCCATTACAGGGTCCAGAAGACCTTACGAAGCCGATTGTACCATACAGTGGCGTTGCTGACGACAGTGTTCCTATAGATATTGTAGAAAGCAACGATTCTGACCAATACTCTGACCCAGAAGATGAAGAGCTATTTGCCTCTCTAGCCAAAGAGGCTGAAGAGCACGCACGTTTCGCCCAGGAACTAAGCAACAACACCGCCGCACGGGTAGACTTTGACGAAGAACTCAAGCAACTACGTGCTCAGCAGAAGAAAGACCGTCGAGACGCCGACGAAGTCACGCAAACAATGATTTCCGAGTGCCAACAGCTCCTCACCTTATTCGGCCTCCCATACATCACCGCACCCATGGAAGCTGAAGCCCAATGCGCCGAACTCGTCAACCTAGGCCTCGTCGACGGCATCGTAACCGACGACTCAGACACGTTCCTCTTCGGCGGCACCCGCGTCTACAAGAACATGTTCAACGCCGCCAAATTCGTCGAATGCTACCTCTCCTCAGATCTAACCTCTGAATTCAGTCTCACCCGCGAAAAACTAATCGACATCGCCCAACTCCTCGGTTCCGACTACACAGAAGGCATCCCGGGCATCGGCCCCGTTACCGCGCTAGAAATCCTCTCCGAATTCAACGATCTGACCAGCTTCAGAAAGTGGTGGGACGGCGTACAAAACGGGTCCATCAAGAAATTAGAAGATGCCCAATCCTCATTTCGACGCCGTTTCCGGAAAAATCAAGCTACCAAGCTTTTCCTACCCGCGTCTTTCCCAGATCCAAGGGTAGCAGACGCATATCTACACCCGGAAGTCGATTCCAGTCCCGAGCCCTTCCAATGGGGCGTCCCTGACCTCGCTGCGCTGCGCGCGTATCTCAGTTCGCAGATTGGATGGAGCACCGAGCGTACGGATGAGGTGCTTGTGCCTGTGATCCGCGATATGAATCGCAGGGAAAAAGAGGGGACGCAGGCGAATATCACGAGGTTCTTTGAGGGGAGTGTAGGGGTGGGGGCGTTTGCACCGAGGGTCAGGGGTGCAGAGGGTGGGCCGAGTGGGAAGAGGAAGGGGAAGGGGGCCGCGGGGAAGAGGCTAGGAGCTGCGTTGACGAGGTTGGCGGAGAGGGAGGGGGCGAGGGGGGGAAGTGAGGGCGAGAGCGAGGAGGGTGTGGAACGGGATGAGGGTGCGAATGGTGGGAGGAAGAAGAGGAAGGTTGGGACGAACAAGGCTGCGGAATTGGCGGAGAAGGAAGATCAAGGTACAGGCGAAGATGGTGGAGAAGATGATGAAGATGATGAAGATGACGAAGATGAATTATACGAGGAGCCTACGAAGAAGAAACCTAGGAAGACGCGAAAGGCAAAGGCAGTGTAGAATTAGTACCTTGAAAAGAAAAAAAAAATGGCCATAACTCGTCAGCTTCACCAAGCATCAATTCACCTTCTTCAAATAAGATCAAAAACAACAATAAAAGATTCCTACAAAATGGTATCACGCCATTTTACTCCTATATCTTGAAAAAAAATACCCAATGATTATGACAAGAGAACCTCAAAGCTTAACTCCTCCACCTTCGATCTTTTTCAAATCATCCTTCGTAAAACGAACATAAGCACCGTCCCTAAGCCAATACAAGACATCGCCTTGGCCCTCCACAACCTCAGGATCAATACCTTCCTTTTGCAACAAATGCTTCTGCTGTTTATTCGTGCCCGTGAGCTGCATCTCCTTCGTAACGCGAATCCAAATCGGGGCCGCAAAAGCTGGCAACTGGCTCTTGACATGCTGGGCCAGAGACGTCAGGACCGCGTCGGAAGGAGAGGTAGACTGGTCTTTGAACACGACTGCGGCACAGCCTGCGCGGCCGTCGTGGCGCGGGACCTGGACGCCGTAGACGTTTGCTTCGGCGACAGCGGGGTGTCTGCCGAGGACTTCGCTGACTTCAGCTGTAGAGACGTTTTCTGCTTTCCAGCGGAATGTGTCGCCGATGCGGTCGACGAACCAGAAGCGGCCTTGGTCGTCCCAGCGCATAAGGTCGCCAGTGCGGAAGTATGCGTCTCCTTTCTTCTTGACGTCGCGGATGATCTTGCTGTTTGTTGCTTTTGAGTTGCCGTAGTAGCCTTGAAAGGCCTTGGTGATGTCTGTGGCATCGAGCTTGCTGAGCATTTCACCCGGTTCGTTATAGTCGCAGATTTTGCATAGGCCTGTTTTGGGGTCACGGATGGGCTCTGGCGGGTCAGAGTCGGGGTCCAGGCGTACGAGGCAAAGTTTCTGTCCCAGGAGCGTGTTGACTATTGTGCCGTTACGTGCAATCGCACCGGTAGAAAAGGAGTTTGTCGAGAGGTTGAAGAGCCCACTAGGTGCTTCTGTTGCGGCATAGAATTCGTAAACGGTCTCTATGCCAAAGCGCTCCTTGAAAGCTTCCCAGACGTCAGGGCGTAAGCCGTTACCGAACGCTGCGCGGAGCTTGTGCTGTTTGTCTTGGGGCGATGGAGGAGCGGAGAGGAGGTATCGGCACGTTTCGCCAACATATTGGAGGATGGTGGCATTGGAAGAACGGATTTCGGGCCAAAAGGTCTTGTGAGAAAACTTCCTCGACAAGCAGATGGTGGTTCCAGCGCGGAGGGTGGCGCATAGACCTAGGATTGAAGCTGAGCTGTGGTACAGCGGCATAGATGTGTACAGAATATCGTTCTTGAGTCCGACCCAAACTGACCCAGCCATGGAAGCACCAACACATCGGCCCCATGACATCAAGGCAGGCTTAGGGAGACCTGTTGTGCCAGATGTATAGATGAGCATGGCCATGCTTGTGCGTTCCTTGACTGAGCGAACTGAATCAGGGAAGCGCGTTGGCAGTTGTGTGAGAATGTGAGATGCCAATGCACCGTCAAAGAAGATGACTTCAACCTGTCGCTGAGCCTGCTTCTCGATAGATGGCGGGACATCAGACTCGACTTCAAATGTATACTCGAGCTTGTCCGTGTTATCCGTCCGAGTGAGGCCTTGTTCCCTCAGTGCATCCTCGTTGAAGTTGGCCTTGAATTCTTGATCCACAAGCACCAACTTGGCCGTACTCGTCTTGATGGTATGTACAAGCGGTTTGCCCGTGAGGTTGTAGTTGATAAAGGCCGGGCTTGCGCCAATGCTCCAGAGGCCAAACCACACCCATACGAAGACGTCGGAGTTTATAAAGTCCATGGCAACAATATCGCCTTTCTCCACGCCCTTGCTCTTCAGCCATACTCCATAGCGGAGCACAACATCATACGCCTGCGCATATGTCCACGAATTTCCCTGGAAGATGATCCAAGTGTGGTTTGCTCGTGACGATTTAGCATGTGATTCGAGTTCGTAAAAGAGGTTCCAAGTGTCGCGTCGTTGGCGGACTGCGCTATCGATGGAGCTGCGTACGAGGGCAGATAGCAGCGTCAGGTCGTAGGTGAAGCCATGGCGACCGTTAAGGTATGCGAGTCCAGCGGCGGCTGCGGGAAGCGCGAGCGGAAGAGCTGCGATGACAAGACCGATTAGCAGGTGGTTAGGGATGCAAGGTGATGTACGAAGTTAGATCGCGCTTACCTGACATGATTAGCGGTCAATAGGCAAAAAGTATACAGTAGCAAAAACACCGAGGTTCGATATCGCGATATCGGGTGTTGTGAGGAAGGGGCTCGCCAGCGCGATGTACGATTCAATCGTAGGACGCATCATGCCTTTCATCGTCGACTAGTGACGGTTGACCCCAGCTGAATAGTGGAGCTGAGAAGCAGCCGAGGCAAGTCGGTCGGGGACGCCCTGCCAATCCGTCGCGCAGGCCATAGACCATCCCTCTTCCGAGCTTCCCCTCATTGCCCTGGCCTGGGCAGCGTCTCACCCTGTTGATACAACGACCTATGGCGCTCGCTTGCACTGTAAGCGGAAAGACAACGGTGCCCAAGATGATCTTGCGAACAGTTGGTAAGCATGACCTTGCGTGGACTCCCCTGACTCGGAACACCCACTTGACAAAGGCATGATCTGCTCGATGATGTGATGCTTTCGACCATGTTCGAACAAAAGCAAAAGAACAAGACGAGGGTACATGTAACTGGGGTAAAGAGACACGTTTCGAGTGTGTGTCTTGTGACAGGCAAGAGCCTCGATTTGTCACCACCAAGCTCCGAAAGGACTATATACGATGTCACGTGCCAACGCGTTGAGTGAAGCATCCGGCCGACCGCGTGCCGGGTCCCGTACAGCCAAGGTTTGGGACAAGATCAAGTTTAGAGTGAAGAATGGATTACGATATACAAGAAATATCTAGCGACGTACGCGAGACCTATAGCTTTAAAGGGCAACTATATAGGCAATGATCTGTATCCAATTCCATCCTTCCCTCACCCCACCCATATCCCAAGGTATCCCCCAAGACTATGATTTGCGCCAAACAATCGCTCCAGAAAATGCTATCGGAGAAGTGAAGGTATAAAAACAAACAAACATAGCGCCATTGAACAAGAGTTTTACCAACAGCCTACCGACTTCGCGAATTGGTGATGTAGACATTACAGGAATGCGAAGCCCTGTCGTCAAACCTACCCCATGACAATAGGCCCACTCACTCTCGTCTACCGTACGGCCTCACCTTCCGTCTTTGGCGTATCTAGCTCTGCAGCTGGAGCCTCTACCTCTGGCACTGGACTAGGTGCCTTTACCGTTTCGTGCGACGTCTCATCAGCGGGGGCTTCTTCAGCTACCTGTTCAGTAGTCTCAGACTCCTTTGGGGCTTCTTCTTCCGCCTTGTGCTCTTCCTTGTGCTCCTCCTTGTGCTCCTCATCGCCATGGCCGTTGGTGACAGCTGCCTTGGCCTTGGATGCGACATCTTCAACCTTGGAGGCAACTTCCTCCGCCTTCTTCTTTCCTTTTTGTAGGGTGCTAGGCTTTGAGGCGCCGGGGGCTTTGTGTGGTGGAGAAGCAGGCTTCTCATGAGTCTTGCTGGAGCTAGCTGCAGTTGGGCGCATCATACGCTCAAGGAAACCGCCCTTGGGTGCGGTGCTTGTGGTCGAGGTACGGGACTCCGGTCGCTTTGGTGCACTGGGCCCAACTGAAGGACGAGGGGCCTTGGTGGTGGTGGTGGCGGGCTTGGGTGGAGCGCGTGTGGTAGTGGCAGGTTTCTTTGCAACCTTGGGTTCTTCGCCATGCTTCGCAGCAGAGGCCGCAGTAGGTGCGGTCAAACGCGAAGGCAGACCGACGGGGCGTGTGGGCGATTTGGGTGCTGGCTTCTTGAAGCCGGTTGGTGAGACGCTAGACTGAGGTCAGAGCTATGAACTGTGTGGAATTCAATTGTACATACCTTTTACGGAGAGCAGGAGGGGCGGGCTTGGAAGCGGCAGGCTTCTTGGTCTCTGTAGATGCTGCTGCTGGCTTAGTCTTGGATGCAGCGCTGGCAGTAGGTGCAGTAGCTGAGGATGCCGCTGGGCGTAGGGAAGAGCGGCTCGTCTTGGTAGTAGGGGTCTTAGCAGCCGGGGCCTTTGCAGCAGGAGCAGGAGCCTTTGTAGCAGGGGCCTTAGCGGCCTCCTTAGGGGCTGCCGGCTTGGATACCTTTGCTGGACTGGGCTTGGGCGCTGGTGTGGCCGACTTGGTCTTCGGGGGAGTCTTGGGTGCTGCTTTTGGGAGAGGGCTCTTTGGGAGAGGGCTCTTTGCGGATGCGGGTAGCGCCTTGGAGGCCTTAGCAGTAGAGATTGTCGAGGGCTTCTTGACATCTAGCTTCTTAGCTGCAGGAGTTCCATTGGTCTTTGCCTTGCTGTCAGCGGGCTTGGAAGTCTCCGCTGCTGGAGCCTCATCAGACGCAGGGGCCGCCTCCTCGGTGATAGTGGGCACATCCGTGGAAGATGCAGTCTCAGTCTTGTCTGAGGTTTCGGCGGGCTGAGCGTCAGCTTGAGGCTCTTCTTTGGTAACAGCAGGCTCCTCAGCAGTTGCAGTCTTCTCCTCTGCGATAGCAGCTTCTGCAACAGCTGCCTCCTCTTTGATGGCGGCTTCCTCAATGGCAGCTTCCTCCGCGGCAGGAATGCTTTCCTCAAATGCAGCTTCATCTTGTGCAGGTGTGTCGTGTTCCACAGCAGCTTCGTCCGTGGGGGCTGCCGGCCTCAGTGCGAGATCTTCCTGGGCGCCCGTGGTAGGCTTGTCCGGATTTTCAGCGGGCTGAGCGGGAATCTGTTGTGGGGATGGCATTGGGGAGATTTCGGCGTCGTCAACGGCGTTTTCTTCGGGTTGGGTTGGTGTCTGCTCAGCCTGGGGCTCAGAAGCTTCTGCAAGGTCGGAGGCCCTAGGCATGTCGGTGGATTCTTTTTCCTCTGCCTTTCGGTCAAGAGGAGCCGATAGCGAGGATTCTCTTGATGCGACGGCCTGCTCGGGAACAGCCTCGGGGATAGCCAGGCTCTTGGCGCGCTCTTCCTTCTCGTCGCTGACAATCTTCTTGAGATCAGCGAGCTCCTCGGGCCTGTCCTCGCTGATGCTGAAGCTCTCGCGGCGGTGTGCAACGGTGCTGTTGGACGGGGTGCCCTTTGTCTGGCCGAGGTCGGTGGGCGTGTAGGCGCTCGTAGGAGGGAGCGAAGGCTCGACGGGGACAAAGGAGGCGCGTACCTTTGACCTGGGGCGGTCGTCGTTATCTCCTGGGGCGGAATGGTCTACTGGGGAGCGACCGCGGGGCTCGGGTGAGGCAGCGGCGTTGGAGTTTTCGAACATGGCGCGCAGATTGCGCACGCCGTTGGACATGCTGAGAGACGACGAAGCAATCGTCAATTTGCAATCGGCTGTGTGGTGTCGAGGAGCGCAGTCGCCGTAATGTAAGTTAAGTAATATGGGATACGTGTGAGAAGTCGGTGGTCCGCGCCTGAAACCCGGGCAATTTGTTTATGTACAAGCAGTGACGACTTGGTGGCAGGGATGCGTGGAGCGTCCCACAAGAACGCAACGCTTACAACAGACAGCAGAGGGTTTCAATTGATGATTCAAGTAACGGGATTTTGTTTTGGACAGACGAGCAGTGCGGTGATGGTAGATGAACCCCTGGGGAAGCTGGTACAGCAAGGAGTCCAAGGTGCTGTCCGGAGTAACCATAACGACTGCACCAGCTCCTAAACGGGCCTAGCGCCTGTGACGTCTGGCCTCGCTCTGGCCCTCGCCACGGGCTTCATAGCACAAAACGCCCGATGCACATACACACTCACCCTCACTGTCATCTAACCATTAGACCCCTCGGCACGCCCAATTCACCCTGAAATTACCTCACCACACTCCCTTTTGCAGACTCCCCTGCACAGCTTCGTTGGCCATGCACATGCGACTCGACTGGCGCCCTTCCTCAAACCACGCACCAGTCTCGTGCAAACACGGTAGCATCTTTCTGGAGCACTCGACGCATGACGTGTATTAATAGCTCTCCTCGTCGTGTTCCAGCCTTACAGGGACACAAGGGACGACCATTGTACTAGTATGCACATACGTAGTAAACTCCCACGCGACAGTCAGGGATAAAGATGCTCGAGTCAGGCCAATCACGTCGCTTCTGCGCATGAATCCCTCGCAATCTCCTCGGGCTCGGCCAATCAAGAGCATCCATCGCCGGTATGTTCACTGCCTCACGTGAGCCCCCTGATCGCTTGGATAGCTCTTTGTCCTATGGATATTGCGTGTGACATGTGTCGAGTCTTTCACAATTGCCAAAAGCTTTGTGGAAATGTTTCTTTCCTTCGGCAGGACAGAAAATAGTATCCGGCTTGGCTCGCTTCTGGATAATTCAAACGGGGGTTCCCCTTTCAATATGCTGGTGGTGACATTACCCCGTTCTGCATGTGACAGGCAGCCGGAACCTTTTGGACTGGAATTGCCCAACACGAGATGTGTTCAGAACTTTGTGAATTATCGGACCGGAATAGCACTCATTCAATATCGGTAACTTGATTAACTATTAACTAATAAAGTCATTCGTTATAGGAAAGGCCTCACTCATGTCGTTAGAGCAAAGAGAACCCCTCAGACAGGGCTCGTCTGATCTCCCTGGCAACGTCCCGTAGCCGTACCGCACCTCAGATGCAAGTCATCCGAAGACCCACCAATCCAAACCCCATAGTCACCACTCACAGCAGGGACAACCCAATTTTGCTCCACGACATCCCACACGCTAAGGTCCTTCCTTGTCAGTCGCATCTTCAACGTCTGGCTAGCTCCAGCCGCAAGGGTAGACGTCTTTGCAAAGTCTCGGAGCTGGATGATGGGCGTGTCGACCGTGCTCTCGCTGGGGAACTGCAAGTAGAGTTGTGCAACAGCCTTGCCGCTACGGCTGCCGGTGTTGGTTACCTTTACAGCAACATCGTATGCCACATCGAAAAGCGCGGGGTTACCACCTTGTGCGCCACCTGCTGCAGGTCCGGGCTTCTGCTCATTGGAGTATCCCGCAGGATAGGGGTATGTCGAAGGAGAAGCTCCTACCTGCGCAGCAGCATCGGCGTCGTTCTTGTCAAGCCACGAATACAAGTAGCGCCAGATGCGGTTGAAGTTCGCAGGCCAGTATGCCTCAGAAGCAGGCGGGATCGCGGTCGAGTATGACGGTGTTGTGCCCTTTGCTGGTCGTGCTGGTGGGGTTCTGGTGAGTGGCGTCACAGGGGTGATTGTGGCGTCGGAAAAGGAGAAGGTCGTGTAGCTGAGTCCGTGGCCAAAGGCATAGCGGGGTGTGATGTTGGCCTTGTGGAAGTGACGGTAGTCAATGTACAGACCCTCTGTAAACGTGTCTTGAGGCTGACCCAGTTGGTATCCAACAAGCTTTACAGAGTTGCCAAAGTCGTCCTCGGCATTGGGCAGGGTGTAAGGCAAATGACCAGAGGGAGAGACATCGCCGTACAGCACCTGCATCAGAGAGTTTCCTGCTTCTTGGCCGGGCAAATGAGCGAATACGATTGCCTTGACTGAAGGAAGGTCATGCCATTCGTTCATAAGGATGACGCCGACAGTGTGCACAACAACGACGACATTCGAGTACTGAGCAGCAACATCCTTGATCAGTTTGTCGCCATTGTGCCATAGGTTCAGGTTGGCAGAAGTTCGGTCTCCTGGGTTGCCCTCAACCGTGATATAGTTTTCTCCCGAGTCGGCAGTCACAAAGACAACAGCAGTGTCGTTTGGAGACGGATTCGAGTTGCCCGGGAAGTTGTCAGTGTTGAAGAACTGGTAGTTTGCACCGCGAGCCTTGAAGCCATCAATGGGCGAGTCCATGTATGGGTAGCGGGCGCTGCCGCTTCCCCAGCCCATTCCCAAGGTACCCTTGTTGCAACCCTGATCAGCGCACGAGTTGATACCATCTGGGTTCTTCTCGGCATCTGTTCCAAAGATCTTAAGTGGGGCACTCGCGGCCAGAGGAAGAATGTTGTCCTGGTTCTTCAACAAGGTAATGGCATCACGAGCTACCTCACGCGCAACCTCGGCGTGATTGCCCTGGACATCAACAAATTCGTTTACCACACCCGAAGGCGAGATGAGTGCACCAGGGTAGAGCGGACCCTCGGCATTCTGGGTGTTGGTGTCAAAGTTGGGCCTTGGATAATTTTGGTCCTGGCCCATCTGGAAGTACGTGGCCAAGATGCGTGTCACGGCATCGTTGACACGGTCCACCGGAACCGAGCCGTTCAGTACCGAGCGGGTCTGTTCGTACATCCAGTAAGAGTTTCCGAGAACAAGAGGAATGTCATTGCGATCGCCAGGCATGGACATGTCCAGACCAGCGAGGGTTGAGCTGACGCCCGAGATTTGAGATAGCCAGTCAGACATGACGAAACCTTGGAAGCCGAGCTCATCCTTCAGGAGACCGTTGATCATGTAGCTGTTTTGCGCGCATGCGCTTCCGTTGACAGCATTGTAGGCGATCATTACTGAGCCAACGCCGGAACGTACACCTGCATTGATATTAGCTGTGATGTGCTTTGGCTTGCAACTTTCCATCCATTCCAGTAGTGTGAAGAGACACACGTATACTGGCGATTAAAGGAACTGGTTCAACCTACCTTCTGCAAAGGGCCAGAGGTAAAGCTCGTGGAGAGTGCGATCATCAACATTTGAGGAAATGCCTGGCTTAACAATATTCCACATGCGATACATTTCCTGCTCGTTCGCAATCAAATGCTTGATTGTAGCAATGACGCCAGTGCTCTGAATACCTTCTACAGACAGAGCACCTCCAAAGGCCTGAAGAACCGGGTCAGAGCCAAAACCCTCCCAATCTGTAACAATTGTAAGTAATCTGCCTCTCAAATATGTATTGTTCCGGATACATACTTCTGCCACCTCGCGGCTTGCGTCCAAGAGGTCCTACACTTGGTCCCAAATGGATGTTGACTCCCTTTCCGCGGAATTCCTCTCCAATAGCGACCGCACGTCGGTAAATGAGATCCTTGTCCCAGGTCGCTCCAACGGTGATGCCTGCCGGGAAAGCAGTGTTGTGGTCGGTATTTCTCACACCCAACGGACCATCTTGCAAGCAAAGCTGTGGAATGCCTACTCTCAAGGCACTACCAGTGTTACCCACGCAGCGGCCCATGAAGATTCCCGTTCCAGCTGTGAGATTGGTTTTCTCAGCAAGCGTCATGTTGGAAACAAGAAGAGAAGCCTTTCGGTAGCTCTCTGCCCAGTCCGACACCCATCCTCCATGGGGAGCTTTTGGCGGAATGTTAGCATGTACTACCAAACGACTTGCAGATTTGAAAGCGTGTTCGCACACATACCAGGATAGTATGGCGGCGCAACATAGCCAGCAGGCACAGGATCACGCTGCTGAATAGCAGCGCCAGCCGCGAGTCCGGAGAGAGACAAGAAGAGAAGGGAGGCCATGATTCCAAGACCGACGTCTGGCAATAAAAATAAGGTATCCCCTCAACCCAAACTGTTCACTGGAATCCCTCCAAACATTTCCAAACGGAGGGCGCGAAAGCCACCCATATACATAGTCCCTCCCCTCTCCCTCTCTCTCTCCCCTTACCCATGACGCAAACCCCGCAAGAGCCCGCCATTGCCTGCCTGTGTGACCACCGCGCCCCCCTCCCATTCCCCAAAACAGAAAGCACAATCGCGCTAGCAAGTAAAGTAATTAGCACATTGGGAAATGGTGATGAGCAAACTACCATCCCAGCTGACGTCCGGACAGAACGTTTGTAGACATATGCCCGAAGGCAGGATTATTATCTGCGTTTTGCGCGACTGGGGGGTTGACGGCCCCGAGATTGGGGCGCGCTGGCTTGCTGCAGCGGGTTGCGCCCGTCCGGATAATGATCGGCTTGTTTTTTTTTAAGCAAACGGGACGCAGGTACAGGGGTTACGAAAACGGCGTTGCGATCTCTAGGTAGAAGAGCGAGAAAGCAAAAAAAAGCAAAACTAATAGGTGGTGGAGTTGAGTGTTGCAGCGAATGAAATGTCACGAGTTAGATATTTGTCGTTGGAGCTACGTAGATAGAGTTCGTAGGCGTGTATGTGTATAGTACGCGGATTGCTTAGTTTCGTAGCTGAACAAGGGACAACAAAAAAAAAAGGTCTCCTGAGCTGAAAAGGTAGTACGTAGTAACAAAACTCGCGGGCTCGGATCAAACGGGATCATCGCGTATTGACCGAGTCGTTTTGCGATGATTGATCGCACGACATAAGCAATCGCCAGGTCCCTTGCTTTTTTGGGGTGAGGGGCCCGACCGCCATATCCCAAACTCATGCAACTCGACAAACATCGAACGTTGTTT